TTTATCTTTTCTGATAACATCACTTTAATTCAATTATTTTCTCCTCTTTCTACTTAATATCCCTTCAGCTTCCATCAGCTTCTTTTTCTAATTCAAATTTTATTCTCTTTCATTTCTTATTATCCGCGTTATTATTTACTCTGTGACTCACCCTCGTCTTCTGTCTGGTATGCCTGATTCGTGCCCATCTGGTATCCGAGGCCTGCCTCCTGTTCCATGATCTCGTGGGCGTAGGCAGCTGTTGTGTCTCGGTATCCGTTTCTTTGGATGTAGCCACCGGCGCCGTTCGTCACCAGTTGACTGTGGTTCGCCGGAAACTGGCCAAATCGCATCAGCGCCTGCCCGACCGTACAGCGCGTCTGCATGTTGGTTTGACATTGTTGGTTGAAGCCGTTCTGTTGACCCGTCATTCCCGCCTCGCTGCCGCTGCCAGGCCCAGACCCGCTGGTCTGCGGTGATACCGACGCCGACGAATTGGAGCCTGAACCGGAGACTTGCATCGCCGGCATCGTCGATGTCGCTGTTGCCGTCGACATTGACGTCGGTGTTGGTGTCGGTGTTGGGGTTGGGGTTAGGCTTGTCGACACGTTGGCGTCGAGGTGAAGATGACAATTGGCCTCGCCGACACATCCGGTGGAGCTGGTGACGGGAGCAGTGGTGCCCTGTTCCTGTTTGCGCCATTTGGCGCGTCGATTCTGGAACCAAACTTGCACACGAGACTCGCTGAGTTGGAGGCGAGCGGCGATCTCTTCGCGGGTCAACGCGTCGGGATAGGGGCACTGGTCGAAGGCCGACTCGAGGGCGGACAGTTGGTAGACGGAAAAGGTGGTTCTGTGTAGGAGCGGCAGACGAGACAGGGGTCAGAGGTCAAAGAGAATGAAACAGACTTTTCGGACACATTTTCGCCAGGCAACAGCCTGCCGTAGACAACAGAATCGACGCAGCCCGTTGACAAGGCAAGCGGACTTGGCTCTGTTCAACTTTAGATGGCAGAGAGAGATCATGGAGCAGCATGCATTACTGCCGGAAAGTGGGTCTGAGAAAGAGTGTCAAAGATCGTGGTCACCGGAAGACGATGACGGATTCCGGTGGCCGCGAAAGACTTCGATGTTACTCAAATAAACAAATTGACAAAGTTCAGGAAAAGTCAACATATTTCGACTCTAATGGGAACCAACAAAAGTTGCTGCTTTAATAAGACCGACAACGAATGATATGTATTGCATGTGTACAAACATCACATGTTAACCCAAGATCGAACATACTTATTAGATATGAAATAGGGGTAAACATACTCAAAACAAAAGAATACTATATATGTAAATATTTAAATATATATAAATGTATATATGAAATAAAGATAAAAGACAGTATAATAAAAGGATATACATATCTACACACACTAGAAAAAGGAAAACTTGAGCGAGTAAGAGATTGGCTTTTCTGAGAAGAGATGAGATTAGATTAGATC